ATACTAATTAATTTAACTTTAAAATTTGTATGCATCGAGTAAATATTCTCACAAAAAGCTAATTTACAAACTTTCGAAATCTACAATTTCCACTCAAAAAAAGTCTTTGCAAAAGTTGAAGTTGTTTTATTCAATATCTAGAACGCTTGATTATCTTGTTCGCTGTGCTCCTCTAGAGAGGGCCATCTTAAATAAGTAAACGAGTACATCATTTTTCCAATTGAATATATAGAATATGCTCGATAGATGTACTTATAGTTAAAACTAAAGGTAGCATCATGTTGCACTTGCGCTAACACTGCATTTATGCAAGTTTCGAGTTTATGCACCTTTTTTTTTTCTTTTCTTGAAATTGGCATTATCAACACTGTAGTATTGCACAAGGCAAGCAATGGTGTTCAATAGATCATTTCTCTATATATGTGTGAGCGGGTGAGCTCCTGCAAGCATATTATGTGTCCCAGTTTTGGATGATAAAGGGATATATGTACGAGAAAACAATATAAATTTGAGCTTATCATTTGAGATAAAGAAATTTTTACTCATTTTTGCAATAAGTCGTATGTGTCGTTATGCCCTAGCCATGATGAATCTATCCTATGGAAGGACCCAAAAATCAACCCATAGCGAAGCAACATATCTGTTTCAACCACGCTCGCCTTACAAGGTTTTAGGACAAAATTGACATGATTTCACTTGCTCATATGCCAATTTCAAGTAAGGTACTCCTATTTATTTCAAGGTTGGAGAAGAATATGCACGTGCATGTACTTCAACTATGCATACATGAAATTGGTCAAAATTGGATATCTCAACTAAAAAGCCAAGCAAAATTGTATAGATACATGTAGCTAACCACTTTATTTTATTCTCATTCATTATCATGCTAAATTGATCTAGTGATCTTGATTAAAAAGATTTGTTTTTTCTTGTCTTCTCCATCGACTGATATTTTTTAATTCAATTGAAAGTAAAATCATACGGTCAACGATGATCAAGATTTGTTTTGTCTTTTATTTCTTCATCAAAGATGCTGCACGTACAGGGCCACATCGGCTGTGTACGTGCAACATAACTCTTTCTTCATTATTTTATATTCTGAATTCAACCGAAAACATCTTTCTAAAAATGATAAATTACGCGTTGTATATTGACCATAGATACAGATACAAGATTTATTCCTTGCCTCAATATGAAGAACATATTTAATGCAATTAGCATCTTTGATTCTTTATGATAATATGCTTGCAACTTGGTGTTGCTTTATAAATTTAGTCCACGTTACTGTGTTAGACCTGGCTTAAAAGCTAACAAATAATAAAACAAAAAAGCACTTCGCTTGGATTTTTCTCGATAAATAAAAAGCCGTCTTATAAAAAAAAACTATTATATTGACCTGTACACAACGCCAACATGTTCAAATTTGTTTCAAACTCAGGAGTGAAATGAGAGTGACTCAGTCGTAGCGTTCTCCAAATATAAATCTAGTGACAAAATTGAATTGATAAAAGTGCAACCACTATTTAATTAAAACTAGTAATCTCTATAAATATTCGAACACGAAATTTTGCTCGATCTATTTGTAATTATATACTAGAAACCCTAGTAATAGAGAGGGCTCCATAAAACAAAACCAAGTTCTAATTATTATTATTATATAAAGGTAGTGTTGGCCTACATGTGGTCTCTAGATTTGATGTTGAAGAAGAAGGTTTCTTGTATTGTCCATTTTGCTTGAGAAGTAGGGTTTCTTGAGTAGAGAGAAAAGAACATGCTATATCCCCTTTTAGTCAATATTAAATGGTGGGCTGGGGTGGGGTGGGCGACAAGTAAAGAGTAATTGAGTTGTATAAACTCATTGAAAGAAGTTGTTACCCATCACATGGAGGGAGGAAATAAATAAGCTTTTTAGAAAGAAAATCAAAGTAATTTTTGTCCCAGAACATCTTTTTGAAACCTCAGCATGTCCTAAACCTACTTTCAAAATCTAATCATGAATTCAATCTTGTCTGAACAATAAACAAATCCGTACATTTAATCAAATAGAATTGAACTTAACAATTAATAAAACTTGTTATATCCTTTTATTTTTAATTCACAATCAATCTTACAAAATTCAATGTCCTAAATCGTTTCTAGCATTGCCATTTGATTTTCTACAATACCTTTTTCTTTTGCTATGTAATAATGCTCCACGGAGTTCGTGGTGTACTGCTGTCTTCACTAATCTATATACATACGTCGTATCAAATTCGCATAGTGTGCAATTTTTTATTTATTTAAATGACTAACTAATCAATATTAAAATTTAAATAACAGACCTGCGATAGGGGAAAAATATGAAATACTTTCTTTAATATTTAAATGAACTAACTGGTCAAATTATTTTTAATTATTGTATCTAATGAATATTATTTTGAAACACTTCATTTTAAGCTTTCTTCAAATTTTAAAATTAATTATAAGGTGTATGTCTTTAAACTTAAAGAAGGCAGTGCGACAACCTAGGAAGGCTGTCACACGCTATGACAACCTAAGAAGGCTGTGAAAGGCTGTCACAACCTATGGAAGGAAGAAAACCCATTTGCCTTCTTTCAATTTTTTCTTTTTCTTTTAATATTAACGGGCTTGGCGGTTAATCATCTGGCTCTATCATTTTAACAACTCGGGACCAGATTTTACTTTTACCTGCCAGTGAATGTAGTACTTGAGTTATGGACCAATTCGTAGATCACTTTTAACGTTGACCAGGCTGATCATGGCTTATCCAATTTGACACCACTACGATACCATACATTTTAGTTCATTTAGAGAATTGAGGCAAACTTTCAAAGTCAACATATATCTATCAAGAACTTTGAAAAATCAAATAGGTCTATTGGCTAAAGTTATCTCCAAATGGAGACCAAAGGACACAACAACAGAAGAAGAAGATGTGTAGAGATTGAGGAACTAGTCATGATGGAGCCAAATGGATCTGTTGCATTCATTAAACATGGAAGTAGCATGCAATCCTTTGACTTTATTGTGTGTTCAAAACTTAAGTTTTTATTGGAACCACGGAGAGTTCGGGTCCTCTCTGATTTAGTCAGGGAACAAGATCCCATAATCTTGTTTTTGCATGAAAACAAGAAGTATTGATTGAAGTTTCGTTTGGGTTTTGATAATTGTTTTTCTATTAGTAGTGAGGGCAGAAGTGGGGGAATTGCGTTATTCTAGAAGAAGGATGTTATAGTTAGTATTCAAAAAATTTTGAAGAAATGTATTCATGCGTCTATTGAGCTACATACGGGTGAAGTATGGTTTTTCATAGGAGTATATGGCCACCCAGAAGCTAGTCGAAGGATGGAGACTTGGAATTTGATGTGATCCCTACATGTCCCTAGGGGTATTGGATGGTTGTTAATGGGCGACTTCAATGAGATTTTGAATCAAGCTGAGAAGAGTGGAGGGAAGGATAGATCTGATAGACAAATTCAAGATTTTAGAGATGTTCTTGATGACTGTAACCTTGTTGACTTGGGTTTTCGTGGAACTATGTTTACTTGGAGTAATAATAAGGAATCAGGGGAAACAATCAAAGGAAGATTGGATCGAGGACTTGCAAATTTTAAGTAGAAGTCCATGTACCCAAAAGCTTATGTAAAGTACGGATTCGCCGCCTATTTTGACCATATTCCAATCTCCCTAATTTTGCGAGATGACTCATCACAAAAGAAAGGAGAGAAGATGTTTCGCTTTGAAGCTATGTGGACAAAAGAGAAGGGCTGTAAAGATGTGGTGGAAAGAGCTTGGAGGCTCAGTAATGCTACTGATGGAATGCTTGGAATCAGTGAAAAAATTCAGTGTTGTGGTGAGCTCTTATCTGCTTGGAACAAACAACATTTTGGTAATGTATACACTCAGCTGAAGAAAGCCAAGCATGAGTCAAAAAGGCTGACAGAGATGGCTCCGAACAGATTGTCTCAGGAGTCCATGTACCCAAAAGCTTATGTAAAGAACGGATTCGCCGCCTATTTTGACCATATACCAATTTCCCTAATTTTGCGAGATGACTCATAACAAAAGAAAGGAGAGAAGATGTTTCGCTTTGAAGCTATGTGGACAAAAGAGAAGGGCTGTAAAGATGTAGTGGAAAGAGCTTGGAGGCTTGGTAATGCTACTGATGGAATGCTTGGAATCGGTGAAAAAATTCAATGTTGTGGTGAGCTCTTATCTGCTTGGAACAAACAACATTTTGGTAATGTATACACTCAGCTCAAGAAAGCGAAGCATGAGTTAAAAAGGCCGACAGAGATGGCTCCGAATAGACTGTCTCAGGAGGCACTGAAACAAGCTAAGCTGGAGGTGCATAAATGACTTGAACGAGGACAAAAAATGTGGAGGCAAAGGCCACGAGTCTTATGGTTGACTGAAGGCGATTAAAATACTTCTTTCTTTCACTATAAGGCATCACAAAGGAGATCCAAGAATTTTATAAGAGGTGTAAGGGGTTCAGATGGTAATTGGAAAGCTGAAGCGGAAAGGGACGCTGAAATATTAGCTTATTTTCAGAATCTGTTCACAGCTTCAAGTGAGAGAAGCAATGTGCATTTCTTAGATAATCTAGGGGGAGAATGGCAACTGAAATGAAAGAGACACTGGACTCAAAGTTCACAGTCGAAGAGGTTGAACAAGCTTTAAATGAAATGCATCCTACCAAAACTCTAGGACCAGATGGTATTGGCCCCATCTTTTATCAAAAGTACTGGTCTACGGTTGGAAATGATGTTACTTGTGTAGTCTCAATGCTTTAAATAATGGAGTCTTTCCTAGATCAATAAACCATTCTTTTATCACTCTTATTCCTAAAAAGAAATAGGTCGGATTATAGACCGATTAGCTTATGCAATGTTATCGACAAGTTGATTTCCAAAGTGCTATCAAATCGCCTAGAAAGCATACTACCTGCTTTAGTCTCCAAATCACAATGTGTATTTGTTCCGAGAAGATTAATTTCAGAAAATGTACTTGTGGCATATGAGCTGGTCCACTTTCTTAGAACAAAGAGACAAGGGAAGATAGGCTTCGTGTCACTTAAACTTGACATGAGTAAAGCCCATGATCGGGTTGAATGGCATTACCTTCAAACAGTGATGGAGAAAATGAGCTTTGGAAACAAATGGATAACTTTGATTATGCTTTGTGTAAGATCGTCTTCTTTTTCTATTCTGATTAATGGAGAACCTAAGGGGCCTATATATCCGTCTAGGGAAATTAGATCTTCATGCGTATAATATGGCTCTCTTAGTAAAACAAGGCTAGAGAATTCTACAAGAGGATGGTTCATTGCTACGGAATATATTCAAAGCTAAATACCTCCCTCATGGACATTTTAGGGATGCAAAATTGGGAGCAAATCCATCCTATGTATGGAAGGGTATTTGGGAAGCCGGGAAGTTGTTGTTTGAAGGATGTAGATGGCGAGTTGGTAATGGAAGGGAGATAAACATATGGACTGATTATTGGCTGTCAAACCAATGCTTAATACGATGCCCAGATGATATTAATGTAGATCAGAGAGGTTGGATAGTATCACGACTAATTGACGAGGATACTCGACGATGGGATATTATGAAGGTGTCTAGATTGCTACATCCCAAAGACACCTATGAGGTGTTCCAAATACAATTAGTATGAGGACTTAATAGACTGGATGTAATGATTTGGGAACCACAGAAAAAGGGTCTTTATACAGTCAGAAGTGGCTACAGATTCTTTTTGAAGACTAGTGGTGCTAACTAGCTAGGTGAAGTGTCCTATGCCGATGATTAAAGGAAAATGTGGAATAAAATTTGGAAAATGCAAATACCCCGAATATTGATGTAAGATATGAAAGCTGCCTATCTAATTCAGTTGCACATTGTCTAGCTAGGAATATATGGCACCTCGATGACTTGGTAGTGTGGTGGAGTGATCCTCCGGATTTTGTTTCACACATTATTAAGCATGATGCACTGATGTAATTTTCTAAGCTGAATGAAATCTGTTTTGTTATATATAAAAAAAAAAAACTTAAGTTTTCATTAAAGTCGATGAGGAGAATTAAACAAGACTTCCAAAGTCATATTCAAAGTATCATGAAGCATTTGTGCACAAGTTGGGCCAAAGATATAAATAAACGTTTATTGGGTGGCAACTCAATTTTTACCCTTTTATTCACTTGCTTTTATGAATTACACATTGCATGGTGAGTTATGACTGCATTTAATATTTAGGCACACTTATTGTGTTTCTTATTTTTTTTAAAATTCTATATATAATTAGTATATATATTATTCTTAGCATCACACTCACATACAATTGGTAAAATATTAGCTTTAATTCCCATATGATTATATTAGTAATTGCTTTTCCTTTATCTTTTTAGGTATTATATTTTGCAAAATAAGCAAACGGGAGGAACGGAAGATAAATTCCTAGTACTAGTGTTGAGAGTCTGAGACATCATCATATTACATGGCAAGATTGCTAACCTTTATTTAAGCCTATTATGTACACACATTGAGACAATGTGTATTTTAAGTTTGGGGGTGTAGCTTTGTTATTTTTGTCATAGTTATTTGTTTGTGTTATAAATCATAAAAATTCAAATAAATTGAAAATTTTGAAAAATAAAATAAAACGTATCCTTCCTCTATGTGTGATTATGTGAGTTGACGAACCAAGATCATAATTAGAAGGACGATCATCTAATTGAAAGAATAGTTTGAAAGTGGTTGATCTGATATTGAAAATATTGAGATAAGTTGATTTCCTGCCCGTTAAAAGATTGTATGGACTATGTATGGCTAACAGGTGGAACTTATATAGTAACCATACACTAGGGGTTTGATTCCAATTACTTGTCCTAAAAACTAAAAGGCATTGTACTAACTGTGACACATAAAAAAGTTACTTACATTGAAGCCAGCCTTGAGTAATGAGAAAATATTCATCACAAAATATTTAGGAGACTATTTTCCGGGTAAGAAGTCTATATGCAGTTTAGAGTGAAAACTACCTTGAAAAATCAAATAAAAGATCCCAAAAATAGAAAAAGGTGCACAAAGAAAAAATAAAAGAAAAATGCATACCAAAGTGTGTTGAGACGGTGACAAAATAACTACTACAAGTTATGTTTTTGTCCGACTAAACCTTGGTTACTTAGTCTATATTTAGCTTCCATTTTTCCAAAAATCCATTTTCAGCTAAACATTCTTCCATAAAATAATATTACTCGTAAATTGAAATTTTTTTCTTATTTTTTAACCACACATTATCCAAAAAATCAATTTTTCAAAACTCATTTCCCCCAAATTTCCATTAAAATGGAGCCTAAACTTTTCCTTAATTTGAGATTTATATTTTCAAGTTAGATTATTATCCTAATTAAAGTTTGGAGGTTGAGATATTCAAATCTAGGTATAATCACACATGTCAAGGTAATTACTTCCATTGGTGAAATTTAACCAAACTTGAGCGATAAATGAATGAGTATGTTGTGAAATCAACTTTAGAATGACCAATTCAAGTACAACATTGAACAACAAGTTTAAGGGTGTACATCTTCGAGAGAAAATAAAATATTTGACTATTCAGGGTCAAAGAATAAGCAACTTAATCATGATGATTAGATTGATCAATCGAACGTAGGTCAAGTAAAAATTCATTCACTACTCTTTCCTTGCGCTTATATTCCTTTCAATTCGAAGAGATAATGCCAATTATTAAGAGACTGAAGAGAATATTTGTCTGAACTTTAAAAAATAGGAATTTCCATTAAATATAAACATCGATAATACATGTATATGGTTGTGCAGTGAAGGGTAGATTTATGGGAGTAACCACATTTTTTTTAATGGGTTGAGAAGGTATCGCAAACTTGTCACTGCCTGGCATAGTCCTTGTCTATTCTCACATTTACCTTCACCGTATTTTAATTACAATTTAAAAATGATATTAATTTATAATTTTTAGAGTCCACTTGAACCCTATTTTTTTTTTTGACAAAATGCATTTTAAAATAGTGATTTGATAAAGAATATGCAGTTAAAAAATAAAGAAAAATTTTGAATTTACGTATAATATTATTTTATTGAAAAATCTGTGATTGAAAATAAGAGATAAAAATGTATTTTGAAAATAATGGGGACCAAATAATGACTTAATAATTATTAAATAATTTCTAATAAAACAAATCATATATTCTATAATATGTTATATATCAATCTAATAATCAAATACAATAACGGTTGATATCCGAACTCAAGAAATCGAGTCAAGACTATTTCAATTTCAAGAAAA